ATCACAGAGGTGCGGATCAACCCCTTGATCCCACAACCCTGCCTCTGCCGTTTGGGTCAAATTAAACCAGACCTCAGGCTGTAGTCCATGACTTACCTTCTGCCGTTCAAGTTGTTCGGGTATGGGTCACAATCAAACCAGGGGACCGCAGGTTTTTAGCCCATGTCTCCACTAGGGTTCCTTTTTGTGTACCTATTTTTTTTACCCACTGCCATTTGATGTTCCGCCCCCTGGGGGGGAAAAACAAAAAACATGTGCAGTGAGATCGATTCCCTTTAAACAACCAAAAGGGAACGTAAAGACATATTCATTTCAGCGAATGGAAGAGTTTGGTCCGGCTTGGGTTGGTTAGGTTTGGCACCGGACCTTTCTTGGTTCGACATTTGTTTCATTTGTTGTAGTCAATGACAAAGATGTAAGCTCCCAACCTCCCACCGAACACGGAAGTTGACAGACCGTAGCAAGTCGACTTTCCTCTAAAGAGCGTTGTGCACCTCCATATTAGTTGGTGGGAGGGTAGGCTTGAGTAGGGTTGGTTCGGCTTGATTGGCTACCTAAGCGTTGGAACCTTGGAGCCTTGACATCGCTAAATTATGTGGTGGTTCGGAGGTCGTGGTTTTGCGTTCTCCCTCTACACGAAACAGAGGTTCAAAATGCAAAGCAACTAGAGTTACTTGAAAGATGAAGCTACCACACTGGTCGTGGTTGAACCATGTGTTCTTGCTTGGAATCCCATGCGTTGTCTATACTTTGCCTGCCTGGAGTGCACATACCTCTAGTTGCTTACCCTGATGCAAAAAGTAGAGCGCACCTGGCGCTAAGCGTTGAGCTGGCGAACAAAAGGTGGAAACAAAATAGATAACTTTTAGATAACCTCTTCTATAATCTATTCTACCCTACCCATGCTGCCATGGGACCCCATGGGACCTGATTACTGGGTTCTGGAAGGCAATACCGTTTGATTGGACCCTCTCGTAGGTTGCATGGCTTTGGAAGACAGCTGAGAAAGTGGTATTGGAACATCGGTCAGGTCCCGTATTGTTAGGCAACCCTAGATGGATTCGAACCCGACACTAGACACATGATTGTCTTTCGGTTCATGCGATCGGAACTCGCTTATCAGAACCCCTTTTCGGAGATGTTGGGTCCCCTGACCGTAGACCAACCCATAAGGCGATGCTCTTTTATACAAATGGCCATCTTTCAGCTCACATTCCCATTGCAATGGCCATGCTCTGAAACCTGCTGATTCTCGCAAGCGGAGGTAAGCAGTGCCATCGGTTTTGGGAGCCACATGCAACCCAGCTGTGCACATATCACAGCACAAGGCACATGATGCTGTGAATGGGCAAAACCCCCAACCCGTGGGTAGGTGGTGCATCCCAGCTTTCATAGGGGTTCATCCCTCCCAACTGGTGCGAAGTGGTGGGGCATGCCAAGGAACAAAACACCAATTGCAACACCCGCAGTGGATCTGCTTGGGGGCCAGGCAGGGGTGTGTTGGGGTGCCCTCCAGGGGGGGGGGGGGGGCGCGGGGTATGAACCAAGGGATGCAATGAGCCACACTCATCTGCACAACATCAAAAACACACGCATAATGCGAATGTGTATACATATATATATATATATACATAATATCCCGTGGTTTTTTTTCAAAATGGAGGTGCCCTTGCTCAATGGTTCAAGCAAGCGGATGGAAACCAACCAACCAACTGAAGCTCAGCTTTGCCCCCAAACCGAAACATGAGCTTGACCCTGGTCAATGTGTGGACTTCAAAGTCCATGTGGCTAATGCCCCCTGCGCAGAAAAATCGACAAGGTGTTACTTACTGGGGAACACAAACATGTTCGACTCAAGAGTTTAAAGGCTAAAGATCCAACCCAACAGCCAAGTTTTTGGTCAGTGTTCATCTTGATATGTCTGTTCGCCGAGAGGTCCCAGCCGATCGGGATCTGCAAAGTAAGCAGGACCTGTCCCCTCTAAACATCACCAAGAGGACCCAGAAGATGATTCTTTAGCCAGCTGTCAAGTCCAAATCTCAGCCCTGTTTCACCCGCTGCTTCTGGACTTTGCTCACGAGAAGCCACGAGAGCTACACTTCTTGCCCCCCCCCCCCTGTACAGGCAAGATCCTCGTGGACTACGAAAACATATTTGTGGCCTACACAAAATTCTTTGTGGCCTACGGCTAAGTCGTACAAAACCAACAATTCAATTTGCAAGTGTTTTTTTCCTGGATACGTTTTGTTTCTTTTTATCGTGTGTATTGGTCACCCCTTTCATCGCAGGCCCTCGGGTCCTGCACACTGAGCCCCTTCAAGGGGTTGGTGGCAGTCAGGACGAAGAATACGACCTGCAGAAACCCAATCCACAGGCAAACCCACTGCTGTGGTTGGTAGTTACGGGGACCCAAGCCGCTTCAACACGAAAGAAAATGGGCTCAGATTCGGCATGGTCACCGAAAATAGCAAGCACCAGCTTACTTGCCCGAATGCATCTGCATGCTTTACACACTTTACAGTACGTAGTTGTGATCGCTTAACCCCTGAATCGGTAAGCTCACCATACAAATAGGCCGATGAGCACGCATAGATCAACAAACAACGACAATGGGGACATGCGCCAAGAGCACAGTGGAAGCCGCTGTCACAAACGACCGCAAAAGCAACTTCCTCAGCGCGAACCATGTATTCGCAGTGTTTGTTTGAGAGCACCATTTTGAAGTCTGGTTTCGAAGGAAATCACACCATTTCGGGGGGGCGGGGGAGCTTTATGTTTACTCGGAATGGATTCCCCCGGCTGTTCAGCCGCATGTCCACAATACGTCATGAGAGCCCGTCTCCAAATCGGAAATCACTTGCCTGACGAATCTCAAAGGAAAGCAAAACCAAACAAACAAACCACCCGGAGAGGGTCCCTAATGTCGTAACAGTACAAACAGCCTAAACAGCAAATCTAGAGCACGTGCATGTTGAAGCCGGCCGCTGACGTCTGACGCAGTTCACAATGGATTTGTCCATCTGGTATGTCGGTTTTCAGGGTTCCCCTTCTTTCTGGTTTTGGTGTAAAGCAAAACAATGGTGTACGAATTGTTTGGGGTTCCCGGTCAGGTACTGAAAAAAGGTCCACCATTCCCCACTCTCTTGTTTTTTTTCCACTCAAAATTCAGCTGCTTCTCACTTGCCCAAAGGGCCAAGCTGTTGGCACCTCTGACCTCAGGGAAAGCACAAACAGCTAGATCTTCTTGTGAGTCATTTTGCAATCCTAGGCAGCCTAGGCACTCGCCCGAAAGAGAAGACATCCGCTTTGTCGGCCAGGGACATGGTGGTGACCTTCATGAGCGCCTCGATTGCGATTAACGAAAACGTGGGTCTCAGTATTTGAAACACATGGCCATGGGTCAAAATCCAAATCGTACCCCTAGTGAACCTCCCAATCCCCACTAAAATAGACTAAAAGTGGTGAATTCACCTACCCCAAAATGGTACCATTGGTTTGGACCCACAGCACATGTATTGGACCAAACGGGGTTTCCTTGCACCAAACCGTGTTTACTGCTTTCTGTGTGTTTGGCTTCCATTCACCATCCCAACCTGAGCTGATTTGACCCAACCGATTCACCATACGGGGAAACGGGGACTCCTCTTTCTGCACAACCACCGGCGTACGGCTCTCCAATCCAGAGCTGGGTCGCTAGTGGGATCCGAGCTTTCGAACCAGGGGTCATACCCGGTTCTCCCGTTGGGGAAACATGTTTGCCTGAAAATCACAAAACCGCAGCCCATACCTCCCAAACTTGCTGGTGCTGTCCCCTTAAAGGAAACCACAAGGAATTTGTTTTTCTTTGTTTATCGGGGTCATTCCATTTCTCATTCCCTGCGTACGGCACCATCAAGAAAACCCATACCTGGAAATGCCAAACCAAACGCCAGGCCAGCCTCCGGAGCCATGTAGCGGGGAGTGCCTGCGGCGGCGAAGCGGCACCTTCGCCTTTCTCAGGTGCCCAAAGGACCCGGAAACAGAAGGTTGACCTTTCGGTGTCACTATGGACTTTGAAAAAGGGAAAAAGGTGAAAAGGTCGAATTGCCTTGGGCAAGCGAGCCCTTGGTTCCAACCCAAAGGTTTAAACAGCTTACGTGTTGGCTCCAGCCAAACGAAAGCAAGAAAAGGTTAGATGGAAAGTTTGGCTTTGGACTGAGACCCTCCTTGGAGCTTGAAAAGAGAGCCTGTACACCAAGCCGCGGGACCGACTGGCAAGACATGGAATCCCCAAAGAGAAGTTAATGGGGTTTTCCTCATTATGCCAGATTCATATTGAAAGACACCTTCTGGGGGGAAAAAGGGTGCTTAAGGGCCAAAAGAAGCAACAATGCAGCAGCTCAGGATCGGGGGGTGGCCTCCCAGCTGCCGGCTCTTGTTCGCCCGGATCCGCGAGAGGCCAAAGTCGATGAGCTTCGGCATCTGGTCGCCTCGATTCAAACACAGCCGTGAGACCTGAGAGACTGTTTCCAAGGGATGCGCACAAACCCAAGCACATTGCTTAACGCAAGCGACCTTTAACGTTTTGGCCACAGGCTAGCAGAAAGTTAAAAACACATGTTGCGCAGGGGGCAATAGCCACCAACAACTTCTCAAAAACACTTTTGGGATCCCCCTTGCACTATACTTTTCTAATTCAAACACAAACAAACAAACAAACAACCGTTTATAGGAAGGTCAACCCTTCCCAGCCGTAGGGGACATGAGGGTCCCTTTCGCGGATTCCCTTTCCACCAAGATTAGAAATGTAAAAACGCTACTAATGCTACGTTATTCTGTAGAAAGCACACACACAAAGGGATTTGATGGGGGCGTCTCTGAACCGCGAATGAAGCTGATATGGTAGCTTGCACGGCACACGTGACATTGTGCAAGTGGACATGGCGCAGGCCTGGGTGTTGCGGGCTCGGATAAATGCAAAACATATCCATTATCTTGGCTTTCTTTGGGACAAACAATATTCAGCTTGCGCCCGGTGACACATGTTGGTCCCCCCCCCCCCCCGCGAAATGCCCGTCCAAGGCACGTGTGGTGATCAGCACGTTGGTGGGCTTCAGGTCCCCGTGCGCGATGGCTGGCCGAAGGCCATGCAAGTACCGCAGCGCTCCTAACGATATTCGAGCCGTTGATGTCCATTTGGTGCCCCATTAGAATTCATATTCCTGTTTCTAGGTATGAATACGGCGCCCCCGCAAGAATGGTCACATTTTGCTGAAAGGGTGCTTCCCCTTGTGGATAAGTTGCTCTGAAATGGAAATGGGTACCCTGAAGATCCATGAGAAACCCTTGATTGTTGTTTGAATTGCAGTTTGAACCACATAGTTTTGTCTTGAGTCGTGTGGAAAATTCCGGCCCTCGAATACACCAATTTCTGACAGATCCCCAAACTAGAAACAAGGGCATTGTGGATGAGCTCGGTTTGCACCCAGGTGACTACCCAACAATATTGCCACTAGAACGTGACAAGGGGCCACCCATTACCCAGCAACCTGCAAAACCGATAGGCAATGGCTCACCCAAAGCCGATGCGCTGAAATAGTAGTTGTGTTCGTTGCTCAGGTGAGCTCGCCATTTCGAAGATTAACCCAAACCACCAAGAAACAAATCCCCCACTTGCCCGAAAACTCAAACATGGGCCAAAAGAGGTGTCGAAAACAATACATCACATGAGTGTTGGACCTTGGCAACTGAAAGGCCGACCTGGATCGATACCAATTTGGAATCTCAGGCTACCTTGCGGCCATTAAAATGTAAGTCGTCCAGGTAGCGCGTACCTTTTAACACCCTTAAACAACGGAATCGGGAGAGGGGGTTGCCCTCTGGAAGTTCATGTTTGGTGAGCTGTCCATTTGCGGGCAAACGGGGCCTTCTCGTCGAGCTTTCGGGGGGGAGATCCCCAAACCACCAAGTGGGTGCAGGTCTGACGGGGACCCTTAAGCTCTGGGTCCGTGACCATCTCTGACACCAATTAAAGGAGAGTGCTGCCCCTACACAGGGTTCCTGAAAGGACGCATCCAAACAAAATATGGCTGTAGGGTTGCGAGTCAAAATCTGCTGAAGAAGGCGATCCTTTTTCTTGGCCCAAACGTATCTTTTTCGAGGGACCCTGATAAAGGGAGTCCATAGACACTGCATCTGGAAATGGACAAGTTCCATCCCCCAAGTAAAGGACCTACATCAGGGGTGCATTTACCCCCCGAATCGCTCGCCATGTGCTCGGTTGGTTGCGGATGGAGCCCATTTGCTCATTTTGCTGAGGGTACCCTGCTTAGGGTAGAATTGAAGGGACACCGTGCTTTTCCCAGTGGTTCAAATCTCACGGGTTCAAACAGTAAAACTTGTCATGTTGGTCCCAGCCAACACTAAACCAACACGAGTAGTTGCATGTTCCTAAAAATCAAAGTTCAACAATTTGATCCTTTGGTTTTGGTCTCTGAGTGGAGGGTCCCCCAATCCTTTGAGAACTCCATTTTGTTGAGAACTCACTGTGCCAAGGAACTGCAAATGCCCAGGAGCACTGCATGCTTCTGGTTGGTCTCCAGGTTTAACTTATCCTGCGACAAAGCCTGGCGCAAAGGGGGGGAGACCCCTGAAGGACAGGGGTGTGGGAAATGGAATCCATTTCTGTGATACAACAGAAAGGGCTTACCAAAGACTAACCCCTCATGTAAAATGGGGGAGATTCCCTTGCATTACAGAAGTGAGGGATAAACGGATAAGCCCCTTAATCCTACAACTCTGCTGAAAAATGATGTGAAGCCCAGATTAAAAAGCTGTCCTATTACTGTAATAGGGGGAGTTCCCTGGTCTTCCGAAGCAATCAATTGTCCCCGTTCAACTGGGAAAGTGCGACGTGCAAAGAGTTTGGGGCTCTCAAAATTGGAGGCCCGGGGAGGCAAGCAAAATCTAGGTCCGCACAAGGTTGACAAGCGGGCGAACTTAACGAGAAGAATAGGGCAGTGGGCTAGTTTGAAGAGCGGTGCGAACACTGCAAAGAGAAGAGCGATGCGAAGACTGGGGGGCAAAAGGGCGAAACAAGCGCGCTCTGCGAATACTTGGAGGAGCGGGGCCGCGAAACACAATCATGTTCCAAAAGTTAGTCTACAAGAACCAATCGAGCGCAATCCATTTTCCACTTTTAACTACCCCAAGGTAGGCTTAAACCCAGGGTCCCCATTTTGGCGGGAACCACGACAAGGTCTTATCTACCTTGGGGTAGTCAACAAGTGGAACCCTGACGCAGTCAGGAGAAACCGATCTAAAGACTGGGCTGCTCAAAAATAGATGCAGGGTTGGCCAACCCTATAGGGACGCCACTACAAAGTGAATCCCTTACGCAACCCAAGGTGAGGACTAAGCATTAGCTTTGAACGGCCCAGAAAGAGCCACGGTGAACGCCAGGGGAAATGGAACTGCCCTTGCCTGAAGGCTGGCACCTTCCACCAACTCCTCCACCAGGAACAGCATTTCCTCGGTCGGTTTGTTCGTCGGCCTTCCCTGGAAAGAAGCCCAAAACGGCCAGACTTAGACCCGCAAACAAGGTTCGCTTGGTCGTTGAAAGGGATGATTGACACCCAAAAAGCCAAAACAAGTCCAACACGCAAGCCCGCACATGTTGTGGGGGATTCTGTTTCCTTTTGGTTTTCCAACAGGGTCCACCATGTTGAGCAACACCCCCATGGATGGTGGACATAAATCGTACTAGAAGCAAGCCCATGTTCAAATGCCCCAAGTGACGTTGAAACCACCCCGAACCTTCGGACCACTCCCTAAGCGCTTGTGACGTTGTGATTCGCATTCCCGGTCCCAGGGCCCCCGCTTTCTGCTGGTCAGGGAATGAGAAAGGGAATGACCCCGAAAAAAGAAAAAAAACGAAAAACTGGTGGCTTCCTTTGAGACCCCTAGAACTCCATGGTCTTATTCCCTGCTCGCACCTAACTTCCATGGCTTGGGCTTTGGAGGTGTTCCCGGGCTTCCCAACCCGTTTGCGGGTGAAGCTGACAGACCGCATGTTTTGATGGCAGGTCACCAATTGATGGATTGGACCTGACCTTCGGGGAATCGCTCCTGATTTGGACCATTTTCCTTTTGAAGGGACCGAACAAGGTGCCGAAGGTCGGGTTTCATGTTAATTGGATTGAGGGTATTGGCTCATGTTCCGGCGCCTTTTACCCTCAAAACAATGAGCTGCAATTTGACCCTTTACTGGGAGCTATTCTATTTCCCGCGACTGAGTTATACCTCACCTTTGGGCCATGGGTCATTGTGAAATGGGTGTCTTTGCAGCGGGCTGACGCTTAAAGGGGACATGTAAGCAACCCAGTTAGCTATTCACTAGTGAGAGGTTGCACCCTACTCGGCCACAGTGACAGTACTTCCATGCGGTGGCATTCGGCACCGTCTTGCCGTATTGCATATCCATATGAGGATTCATCTTCGAATCCATGTCGATGTTGGATCCTGCTTTGGAGGCTGATTTCTTATGATTAAGGTAGGGGCTCCTAGATATATGGACTGGACATACACTTTGAGCCCATGACTGCGGTTTTGCCTGCCCCGTTTGTGGATTCCCCCGCCAGCACATGCCCTGTTTGGAGTAGGGAAATGTTTATGGAGGTGCTGTTGGTGCAACTGGCTTCTCCTTTCCAAGTTGCTGCTTCCGGAAGGACGCAGGCTCCTTGCCGTGCGTGTGGCATTGACGCACATTGACTCATTGACCGCCCATATGCCAAAGATCCGCAACGATCCCTGTGCTTGTTCCGAATCTTTTGGAGGGAGGTGAACCAACACGCTGAACCATCCGGAATGCAGGATTCGTTGACTCCCAAAACAACAAAATGCACGTTCAATGACTCCTGGGACAGGGTAAGACAGGGCTGGGAGAGAGCTGGGACAGAGCTGGAGCTCCTGCATAAGTGCGTGATGCTGAGTCGTGTTTTTTCCTTTCCCCCATGTGCCAGCTCCATCCCAAGATGTCTAAGTGTCCGAGAAATGATTCTCTGTTTCCTGCCCGCAATGGGCAAATAGAGCATTCTTCAAGCCTTTATATATCACTTCTCCTCTTGGGGAACCATTGCATCATTTACATGCAAGTTGATCAGCAGCCAGTGCTCGGAGATTCTCACCTCACAAATCATCACATGCTTGCAGCCTGCGGAAAGTTCCCGAGCGATCGGAAGGCCCCGCCTTGAAACGCCACAATGTGCGGATGCCGCACGCGGCGCAGAAAGCGCAGCCTAGTGCCCGAAGGCCCGAAGGCTTTGGTGGGCCCTGCCCTCTTGGCGGCTTGGATTGGTGGTTTCCCGTTTTCCCTCTGCAACATCCGGGGGTTCAATTCCCCAAGCCACCAATCCAAACCACCGAACAAAATGTCAGGCTCCGTGTCATCTGAACACAAAAAACGCGCGTGGCTTCTGCGATTCGTGGTGGCACCCTCATCCGCTGGCGGAATAAATTAGCGGCACAAACAGAGACCATTTCGCACAGTTGCTCTAGGAACGAAAGTGCACCAAGCCAAGCTTGCAATGCTTGGATCTCCTTTCGTGAGATATAGAAACGCATGTCTTAACTCAACCTACCCCAGAGCCAAATGCTCTATTTACACCACATAGGAATAACAACCAAAATCAGCGGCTAAAAACGGCTTATACAGGGCTGTTCCAGGGCCGGACGCATACCCTGGATGGCCATCTTCATATGCTTGCTATGTTAAGGTCTGTTGTATTTTATAGACAGAATCCAACGGGGGGTCATATTTCTCACTTTTACTTAGAGCCAAAACTGGAAACAGTAAATGGGGGACATCAAATCAAACTCCTGGGCTGCTCAGCCCCAAGAGATATGTACGCCCGGGTTTACAACACGAGTTCTATTTCAGACTCATCATCATATTTTGTCCACCTTAATTGAGCTAGACAAACAAGCAGATCACCCCCAGAGTTTTTCACCCGGCCCTGACCGAAAGGTCGCCAAACAGTCGGTTCCATGCCCGGCCGAAAGTTGCGCCGGTCCCGTGAGAGTTGGTTTCGGGCCAAGCCGCTCGTTGGCCAAGTCGGGGAGGGACAGCGAGGCATTGGCCAACGGCAGCTTCACTGCCACGGGCATGCCCAGCATATCTCCGGCCAAGATCACCTAAATCAATCGGCCGGACAGAGACCCCCCAAAATGGAAAATTTGTGTTTCTTCGGTTTTACTAAAAAGGCTGCAAAAAGGGTCCCCTCAAAAAAAGAACATACACATCACTTGATGGCTGCCGAACAGAGAAACATGAAGGAACAGTGAAGAGCGAAATGGGAAAATGGCGAGCTAAGTCTGAGCTAGTATCCATTCTGGGGGTTGGTTTCAAGGAAAACCATCCGACAAAGATGTAAAATGGCGCGTGCGCAGGGGATTTGGATTCCGCAGGGGTTGGTTGACCTGCTTTCGCTTTGAACCAACCCCCTCAAAAAGGCACACACCCCGAGCTTTTGTGGAAGGTTGAACTCTATTTTGCCGTCATTTTCAATAAGGGCGCACATGTAAGATGGCACCAAACGTTGACCGAGCATCTGGATTGGTGGCTATTGCCCCCGCCGGTGCAAAAAACTTCACTCTTCCGGGCCAGTGGCAAACATATGCAAACATGCTCAAGGTTCAAGATCCCGACACCTCGCAGCCAGACTCACTTCTTCAGTGGATTTGGCCGGAAAAGACCGAGCTTTGAAATTGCTGCTAAAAAAACGGTCCAGACCCAAAATAGTTTCAAGTTCGGGGGTGGCTCAAAAATAAAAGTCCAAAACGGAACCCTGGTAAACGTAAAGGTAGACTAAAACCTGCGTAACCCCGGCTGTTTCATTACTGTTGACCCAGGATTAATAAACCCGTTTCATTCTTGGGGGGGTGTTCCCTCCAAAAGTGGTCTGAATCCCCACTAAAAGGAGACATCCCCCAAACACGTTCTACTTAGATCCGGGGTTAACATGATGCAAAGCCGTTCAGGACCTCAGGCAGTGAGCGCGTGAGTCCCCGAGGCGCTCCATAGTTGCCGCGGCCGATCAGCTCCTTGGGGTCGAAGCGCAACTGCTTGGCCTGCCCGTCGGAACAACGCAACGCGACCGTCCAAAACGCCCCCAGACTCACGTACCCCCAAAACACGGAAGAGTCTCCTTTTGGATCCTGGTCCATTGAAATTAATTGCCATCCTGAATAATATGGGCACATTTGTGAGCGATGTGCTGCAACTTGGCTCGGGGGTTGCGGAAAGCATCTTCCACAAATGGGGGTTCTGATCGGTAAGCTAGGAGGGATGCTAGAAGATGAGAATAAAGGGGGCCCAATCGAGTTTCCCAGGAGAACGAAACAGGGAGCTCCCCTTCGCCGAATAATTGTAGGTCATGCCGCCATCTCAGTCACAGAACCTCGCGCCTCCACCAGCCAGTGCTCCTAGCAGTGTGGCAAGAGCGCGACATGACGGTCAAGAACGCTTGTTCCCCCAAGAGGACATGGGCCAACTAGAGCTCGTTTGCTGGATGTGCTTGATTTAGATCACTTCCTGAGTGAATTGGCCAAACAAGTCCAAACTTCATATTTACCACTAACATGGTCTTGCCAAAAAGTGACGAAAGTCCAGGAACTCAGGGAGTGAGGCCACGTGAGTCCCTGCCCAGACTGATCCATTTCGCCATGTGCTGCGAACTCCTGTTCGCCCAGCTTCATCATGGAGTCCAGTTGGTCCCGGCAGTTGTTCTTCACATCGAAGATCATCTGCGTGAAGCCTGTCTGACCTTGGACACAGGAGCACAGGAGCCTGATGAAGCCTGCCCTACGCAGTGCACCAATTAGAAGAGGCTCTCAAAAGGCTCTGGAGAAGCTGTCTGGGGGTATATTTGGGGACCTCTGTTGTTGACATCATTTGCATGCTCGGTTTTGTGTGTGCTCGCCATGTTTGAGAGTGTCCCCGCTCATGTCAGGGTCCCGGGAAAGCCTTAGGGTTCCCACAAAAGTGACGCAATCCTCTGACATGCGCCTTGGTCAACCATCCTTACTTGCCACAGGAATGCTAAAACAACACCGGAACTTGACGGCAATTTACCCCCAACTGCTAACTTGTTGCAAATTGGTGAAAAAAGCACATTTTACAAAAAAGCTAAAGGCTATCCATCCAAGCCAATTGCATTGAGGCAAAAATGCCGGGTCTTGTCCCTTGCGTCCAAAAGCAGAGCTATGTTCCGATTTGTTGCACCCACTTCCGAGGGTCCGAAGGAAGCCTGCAAGGACCAAAAGTAGAGGATGCGAACCGCCGAATTGGATGCAAGGGTCACATTTGGCATGGGAACGCAACCTCCCAAACTCCGGATGCTTCATGGCAACCGCATCTGGAGTACTTAAAAATATCATTCTGAGTCTGTTTCACGTTTAGCTTACCCTGAAATATAAATCTGGTTTGAAGGCGACCCTAGTTCCATAACCCGGTGGAATTCTTACCGGGACCTAACCAAACATGGCAGTCCACGGATCGCTTTTTGGGTCTTGGGAAACCACAAGGAAACCAATCCGTTTCAGGGCAGCTAAAGGGAAGCAACACCCCTGCTTGTTGCAGGTTTCAACCGAAAGAGGGCCCTCTTGGTGTAATATGCAGAACCTCCCGAGTCACCCCAGATAGCGATGTGAGGTGCCGATGTAAATCACATCTGACAAACGCCAAACGCGCAACCCTCCGCTGCCGTTGCGGAGTGAAAGAAGTGACTCATAGATGTTCATGGCAAACGGAGATGTGCACAGCCTGATGAGGGTCGGAAACCAAGGCTTGGAATGCTGGGAGCAAGTAATATGACAAAACGGGCAAATCAATTTGCCGGCAAATATCTGAACATACCCCTCAAAACTATCAGTAGCTACTTGAACCAACTGCCCAGTTGTTCAGCCAACCCGTTTTCCCTGTTTTCCCCGCTTGATACAAAGGCGGACCAAAAGAGATGGTTTCCTTTCCCACCAAAGCAAATCGGTTTGGGAACAAGCACCGCTGTTCCTCGTGTAGAAGCCCGGAATGACTTGGGCCGATTCTGACCCAAATTGACCCCCAGCTTGCTCAAGGGTCACTGTTGGTTTGCGCAGGAGTCACGGTTGCTTTCCAGTGTTGGTTTCCAGTGTTGGTTTCCAGTGAAACTGCTACCCGAGGTCCAAACAATGGAAATTGAGGGACCCCCTGTTGTTTGCGGAGCGCCATGAGCAACGAGCCCGGAAAGTCTTTAGCATCGAGCCAAGTCGCCAGTTTGATCCTCAGAAGGCATGGGCCAAGAACCCCTCTATTGGTCGTGGAGGCGCCAAGATTCCAAAGAACCATGATGATCGAGCAGAATTCCCAAAAAACTCCGAGCCTTTGGGCAAAGTCCAGATCGCTTTCAGCTGCTGAAACAAACCAACCAAGCACTCATGGTGGAGGTCCAGGTGTCCAGGTCCATGTCCCAAGTTTCGGGACAACAAATTCGGCGAAAATTGGGGATCTGGACCTGCGGCTGGCAGTCATGACCCTGTCAGATGGACAGACAAAAGTAAACTTGCAAAAGTGGGCCAGACGACTTCGACGCTTGGCCACACGTGGGCAAACAAGTTGTCAAACCCTTCGCTGGCTAAACCGGAAATCAAGAAGCTCAGACAGGCAAAAGGGAAACGTCTGGCAATGATAAATGGTGCCTGTGAAATCTGTGCCCGGGCAAAGCTTTCAACCGTCCGCATGTACAGCCCGGATTTTGTTTGAACTGTCCACATATTGTATTCCAAACGCCAACCTAGCACTGAACCTAGGCAAAGTAGCAATGACCAAACAAAACATATGCGGGCTACATCAGTGGGGAAGCGGTGTATCTGCGTGGGTGAATCTAGGTGTGGATTCTAATTGGACCCCCTGGTGGATTCATGTGAGTCAGCTATGTCGACAGGGCCGGGAAGCAAGCAAATGCCAAGTTTGATCCAGAACAACCAGCACCAAATCTCCTCACCAAACACATTCCACATTCCAACCGTTATAAAAGGAATCCTCACGTGAGGGTTGGGGCATGCCCACAAAACGCAGCCACCCGCGCCAATCGCCGGCAGGAAGCTGTCACCTGAGTTCACGAAACCACAGGAGTGCCGCACAAAAATATGGCCAACTTTCTCTAAAACCCAACACTGGAAATAAGCCCCGCCCCCGCCTGGCAAACGACCTTGGGTAGGCGGTAGGCGTGTTTTGCCCCTTTGCCCCCTCCCCCAACATTTTTTGCCCATGTTTCATGAACGGGGGGCAAGGCCACAGCCAGCTTCCCTCCAATTGGCTGCGGTTCGGATTGGTGGTTCCCCAAGGAACGCTCACCGGTTTTACTCTCCCGCAGATTCGCGCGGAACCCAACTCACTTTGTTTTTTATCGTCGGGGAATCTCATTTTGGAGGATCCCCTCTTTTGGGCAAGCGTCATCTGCATTCATGGTTGATTTTGAACCCAACATGTTGCAATGGCACTGGTCCATCTGAGTAATCTGCATTCATGTTTGACTTTGAATAACCCAACATGCAATGCTAGCACTCCGATTCACAATGCAAATGCATTAATCGGATTGGCAATGATTAGGAGCACGAGGGCAGAATGCGCTGGTTCTGCAGAAGCAGCTGGAGAAGCTGAGTTGTTCGTCAATTTGGTCTAGATGCATATCATATCCTTCCAGCCCATGTTCGTTACTTTTGGTCTAGGGCGCCATGCTGCGGGCGTCTATCTCCCGCTGCCGCATACTGGCGCTAGAGGGAGATGCCACAGACATGGACTGCGCCTGCGCGGTTGCAGCTCGGTGGGTGTCATATCTCTGGCCATGGAGTCTGGACAATGCAACAACTACCCATCCCCTTTTGGGGTGCGGGGGGGAACTCGAAAGCAATGGATGTCGCGTGATGTTGCTTGGCACCCAGATCGTGTTGCCTTGTTTTGCCAGCTATGGGGATGCGCCTTGGAGGCGGTGGGCCATGTCCAACCATATCATGTCTCCACTCTGGGCAGGGCTGCACAAATCTGGCCGACGCGCAATGTCACACTGCATTTTGTCTCTAAGAAACACTTGCGACACGCCACCCGCCAGTACTATCAGCAACAGGCTCGCGCCGGAACCTGGAAGCCTCCCTGAAAGCTGCTCCGAACCAGCCCAGCACTTATTTGGGCAAAGATCCCATAGCTTTCAGCTGTTGGGTAAGAAATCATACGTTGTGCCCCCTTGGCCCTTGAAACCCCTAAAGGACACCCTCAAAAGCTGCCAGGCCCTTACAGAACTCCCGGTCGCCCTGAAAGGCGACTCCATTTTCCCCATTCCAACCAGTGCACAAGAGAGTTGCAAGAAGCGCCCAGCCCTGGCGATTGGTGCAACACCCAGTTCTCTTTCCCTCTCTCTCTGCTGGGGCTGTGTGGTTTAGGCCGTTTGCTTGCTTTTGCAGGGAGATTAACACGAAAACATCCCCAGTTCTTTGCTTCTGAAGTTGAAGCTGTTGCTTTTGGGACCCAACACACTCAACTAGCCAGCACGCCTTCTACCTCTTTGCAGGTGTTTCCATGACATTTCTCCAGCCAACGAAAGCGTGGCGCAGCGGCACGCGCCTGTTCCAGCTTGAAGTCGCTTTCAAACCGCCGCACCCTGCCGCGCGTCAGATGAATGGACCAGGCTACATGTTGCAACCCCTGTAGTTAGTTTCAACAACTCCGTTTGACAGGGGCGACGAGAGCCTGAAACCAGCATAAACCTAGAGGTAGCCTGACCCAGCGCGTCCAAGCCAAGTTGTCTCGAGACTTTTTACCGGTAAGATCAAACCCGGTCGATAGACGTCTCTGTGGTTGGACAGCTGAGTTCTACATGAAGCTGTGCTTGGACATCTCCAATCTGCCCCTTGCTTCGTCAGTTCCTCACTTTGCCACGTACAGAACTCCTGGTAGCTCCAGCTCCGATCTTCAGAAGGGACTTTCGAGAAATGCTCCAAAGTTTCCTTCCATCCACCAGCAACTCAGCTGTTCACCTCCCACTAGGTTCTACAGTAGAGAGGTTAGAATAAGGGTACCCTTTTTTCGGTAGTCTATTTTAGTAGGGGATTCCTCCCTCCCCTAACACAGGGGGGTAAAAAGGCAGAATTGGCGGACCTAGGTAGCTAACTTTGAATGGGCCTTCCCCAAAAAACACATGGGAAGAGGCACCGCAGCCAACTGGAGGTCTGAAAACCCAGCCTCCTCCATTTGCTTGCGTTCCCTGGAAGTGATTGGGTGTTTCTCCAAATTGGAGGTCCCTCCAGGTCTTTCCCTTTCAACCCGTCCAAAACGGGGTCCCCTAGAGAATCACCAAATACTCTTCAGATTCTTCCAAAGATGCTGAGCATTTGCTCTCACTGCCTGAGCGGATTGGCCCAAACAAGTCCAACTTGATATTTACCACTCAAATGGTCTAGCCCCAAAATGTGCCTCAACTCCGAAACGGACCTCGGGAAGTGACTCGAAATGGAAGCCCCGATCCGACTCGATGTCTGGGAAATGGACTCCACTTCAGTGATGCAAAAGGGCGTCAAGGACTGGCTCCCCCATAAGGGGGAGATTCCCTGGAATGACCTCCCAATGGCTGTTTTGGGGTTATTTGCCAGCCATCGGAGGGTCCTGGCTTGTGACAAGTGAGGGGTTTTTCCCCCCGCGTGATCCCACGGACCATCCACTGGACGTCGACTGGCGCGACTGGCGCGACGTCGAGCCTCTCGGAGATGAGCTGCAGCATGGAGTGGCGCTCGTGGTGCTCCAGGCCGCGCTTGGCCAACGAGGCCAGCGCCGTGATCCCCGCGAAGAGCGCCAGGTTCATGACCAGGAGCACCCCTGTGATCTACGAGGATACATTGCGCATGGGGGGGTTGGGGGGTTGGTGGTTGGCTTGGTTTCCCATTTTTCCTCCACAAGAACCAGGCGTTCAAATCCCAAACCACCAATCCTAAACCACCAACTAAGGGTTACCTACCTGAACCCAGGAGGATGAAATATGGCAGGTTGGGGGAGTTGACACCCCCCCACCCCACACCCCCAACAATTTTGGAGGACTCATAAAGCAATTCGGGGGTCAAATGGGCCTTTCCCAAGTGTGTTCATGGCTTAGTATTGGTTAGTAGTGTTCTTGTAATAGTTTTTTTTGTGCTGCGCTAGTACTGGCGTGGTATTGGTTGGTTTTGGCTTAGTATTGCTTTGTGCTGCCTTAGTACTACCTTAGCATTGGCCTGCTACTGCATTCGGTTGTCTTCAGCCCTCTTCGGTCTTCTTGCCTAGTACTAGTGTTGTTTGAGTATTCCTTTGAGCTGACCAAGTACTGCGTCAGATTTTTCTAGTGTGAGTTTAGTATTGCTTTGTGCTGCTTTAGTACTGCCTTAGTGTTGGTTTAGTATGGCTTCGGTTGTCTTCGGCCCGGTTCGGTCCTCTGTGCCTAGTTTTGGTTATGGTTTGAGTATTCCTTTGAGACGGCCCAGTACTGTTTAGAATTGGTTTAGTAATCGCTTAGCATTGCTTTGTGCTGCCTTCGTATTGGCTTTGCCCAAATAATTACTGACTACATAATGCTAGCTTAGTATTGGTTTGTATTGGTTCAGTGTTGGTTTAATGGTATTTTGGCGTTTTGGCCTGGAAAACGATTACACAATTGGGTACCCCCGTTTCATGTCTATTAGCACCTGGGGTGGCCAATTTGTATCCAGGATGTGTAAGGAAATTTGCGGTTTGGGAGAAAGGTGTTGTTTCCGATTCTTTCTTCGGGGAGGACATGGGTGCCCTTTGATTAATCAGGCACCGACATTACAACCTGTCGTGTGAGACAACGCAAACCCGCTCTGCACACCCTGTGCAAGCTTTGTAAAATGGCGGTTTACCCCAATTGGTTTCCTTTTGATGCAAGGCACCGCGCACACAGCGTTGCAACCCTCGTGCATTCCTTCTTCTTTCTTCCCTCCAGGAGATTCGCATGTCCAGAACGCCCTCATATAGAGCAGTCTGTTGTGATCTGCCTTGGGTTACATTTAGCCCGTCCCTGGCCCGCGCAGGGCAAATCCGCCAGCCTTCTGGACTTCCAAGGGCCGCACAGAACATGTAGCTCAAAAGACCTCGCGGGCTGCTCATGTCGGGCAAGACGTGGTTGATATCCCCTCCATAAACGGCATCATGCCAGGAGTGTCGGTAGCTCATTGGCAAAAAACGTTTTCTTCCCGAAATGATGTTGGACCCGGAAAATCAACCCATCCTGCCCGGATAATCCGGGTTGCGATAAGCAAGCCAAAAGTAAAGGAAGCCAAAGTACCTTCTGAGGTGCGTTCACCCATGTTCGCTTTAAACAAATGCACCCCCAGGATACTTGGCTCTGGGTGTGGGGCCCCTGCCAAATTCCCAGGGGTCCGGACGTTTCACAAAGAGGCTCTTGCGTGAATGGCTAGGGAAATCTGAGACACATCGCCACCTCATTTCCAAGTAGGTTTCCCGGTCAGTTTCCCGCCTGAGATTTGACAGGGGAGCAGCGTGTACCAGCGCAAGTTCATAAAGAAGTGGGTGCACGTGAGCATGGCGATCCAGGTAAGCATCAACCTCGAGCCAGTGTCCGGACGGCTGTGAGAGATTCCCTTGAAAAATACACCTAAGCACCAGCTATGTGCCCGATTGAAGCAGTGGCAAAGGTGGCTTTCCATTTGGCCAACAAACTTGTACAGTCAAAAGAACCCTAAAAAAGGTCTACCCTGGCAACGAAGCAAGGCGCAGGGCCTTGCTGTTCAAAACTTGGGCTTCTTGTCAGATCGCAAACCTTGCAGCCAGCCATGACTTTTGCAGAGAAGGAGTGTTGACACCAGGACAAGGCTGGTCATGCTAACCAAACACATTTTTTTGTTAAAATGAAATCCCTGTCTAATCCGTGAGCTGTAGCTGGACACTACTGCAACAAGGAAAACCACTTGCCCTCGGCACACACATCCTGCGCATGGATGCAACAACCAAGCGAAGAAACAGGCTTTGCCCTGAAAACCCCTGCCAAAGGGAAGTCATCTTAGTTTGGCCAACAAGGTGATGCTTAAAATCACCAGGCAAAGGAACATACCGGGACCCTTGAATAGCTGTTGCCGCATGTGTGCTTCCCGGCATCAGGGCCAATAGCCCGGGCCTGGTGTCGGAGGCATAGTCCAGGCAAATGCCATCGTCTCGTCTAAGGTAAATCCCATCCACGGCGTACAACTTCAGCATGTAGTGCCCATCGATAAACACCACCGCCTCAAACTCAAACAACTCCGATCGTTTCAAGCTGCCTGGCTTGGGCCTAAATAGTTTGGACCAAATGCAAATCCCTTGGCTCCGTTTCGGTACATGACTCGAATCCCTCGGTTGGTCTATTGCAGCCAGTCGGATTCTTGGCTGAGGCACTTTCACCCAATCGTCCTTGCCGAGCCTGAACAATCTCCCATGTTTTCAGCTGACGTTCCTGGCACTGGGCAACCAGTGGGCACCCATGATGACATTAGGTTCGGCAGGCAGCCTCAACATAAAAGATGAACCCTAAAACGCTTTAAGGCGTGTGTTCAATGGCCGGCATTGGGTGGGAGTGGTTTCCATCCTCATAGGAGCATATCCCTTTTTCAGGGAATGGGGTGCAGGAGGTGGAAACCTAAAACCAACAACTTCCTGCCGATGGCTTGGCCGGACCAAGGCCCCCTGCAAACCGAAAGCTTTGCTAACTGCCTTCGGGCAAAATGGAACATGAAGCACACCCAAAAAAGGGCAAACATGCAAAACGTTGGTTACATGCTTGCGGGGGACTGGAACAAACAACCCACCGAGACCAGTCCGCTGCCGCACAATTGCGTCTAGATGCTCAAAGGAGCATGTTGCAAGACATGCTGGCCAGTGTCCACACTTGAACACATGCTCTAAATTAGTATACACCTCCTCAGGAGAAGGGTCTGGTAAAACCAAACAACAACAACTTGAGGCCAGACGAGGAAAACACATGCTAGGTGTCCGCGCAAGGTCGATCGCAGCTCTGGCTCACTCACAGGCGGTGACAGGGGTGGAATCGAATCTAACAAGGAGGAGAACAGAGCAATGGCCAAAGCACTGGGCCTAGAGGCTAAAAACGAGCTCATGGAACAATGTGCAAAACACGAGCTTTACGAGCGGAGCCAAGACTGCAAAGGGGCCATTTCGAGGTTGAGAGCATCGTTGGCATTCAGCAAAAGGGACTCCAGCCAGCAAGCTGGCAAGCTAGCTTCGTACGAGTGGCATCGCTTGATGGCAGAGGAGTCGCGCGAGCACAGCACAGCACAGCACCCAATTATGGACGCACGCTTGCTTCATAGGTCCTACTTGCATACACTGCATTGACATCGCGCTTCTAGAAGCTAAACAAGTTGGATCAATCGGGCATGATTCCCACATGTTTCGTGTGCAACCTCTGTACGTGTCACATATGCTATGACCACTTGTTTGGGGAATATTTACCTGGACAAAAGCAACAAATTGGTCAATGCCCAACCCCAACAAAAGTGGTTACATGTGAATCCAAGGGTTGGACATTTGCTAAATGCGGAACATACCCAGGCTTGTAGTAGGCCAATGTCAGTGACAAACCCAACCTTAGCGCTAACACTAACCTGCGGCTAGCTGGGACCCACTGACCAGGCTTGAAGTCTTTCCACCCCATCTCGATGAATTTCTGTAAACGCCTCAGGTTTGACACTGCCAATTGCTTATCAAAGTCCAAAACAAATGAGACCTTCGCGTCGAGCGGCCGGCATGAAGATGGCCAGCAGGGCTGCGGCGGTAGATTCAATCTTCCAAGTTGGGAAGTGGCAGCAGGGCCGGCATCCGAAGCCCGCCTTAGCGCCCAAAGATGGCGACGCACTTCCCTTCAAGGCCCAGGAAAAGTCAGAAATGGTTTGCCACGCTCGGGCAAAACTCGGGGAGGGCCAAGGAAAAACTCCTGGTGTGTGACAGTCCGCATCTCGTGTGCATCTTTTCCTGGTCAGACTGACACAAATGTAATTCCATGGGTTGAACTCCCCCAGCACTCCGATTCCATGGAAGCTGCGCATTGTTCGGAAAGTGAAGCCGCCCCGTGCAAAATGGCGCAAGTGCTCCGAATTCTCCACGACCCCTAAGTGACAAAATAATTGTACACACTCATCATTGTCTCAGGTGTATGACTTGACTTGTCTTGAAAGTACCCATTCGACCGAATCAAACTACTAGTCCATTATGTATATATGTATAATCCCACCACCACCACCACCACCACCACCACGATTACTACTACTACTACTACTACTACTACCACTACTACTACTACTACTACTACTACGACTACTACGGCCACTACACAAGGGGGCCTTCAAGAACAGTTCACCAACAATTGGATCGCCTGGACACTGGGTCATGAATAAGGAGTCTGGACAAGTTGCAAACATTCTCTCCGTTCGGCGGGGGGCAGTTTAAATGCTAAATTAGCACCCAAACAACACCTCGCTTGCAACAAAGCGACCCCTTCGGCCTACGTTACGTGCATTCCATGCAGGAGCCTCTCTCTTTTCTCGTTCAGTGGTTTCTAGGAAGACCCCGGCTTCAAAAGACCACAGAGAAATGCTTCGCCAATGTCGGGCTAGGAATCCTCATATTCGAAGCCTGAACAGGCCCGTGACATCCCGTTTATCCCAGTCCCATACCTTTGGGGGGGTACACCGGGTAGGGTCTCAAAGATCTACCTGGTGTTTCCATGACCCTTAACAAATGTGGTCGTTACCCAAAATGGTGGGGTCATGGACCTACTCTACCCCACAAAAGGGAACATAGAAACAAGCGGAAGTCCAGGCACCCCAGTCCCCCCAACTAAGTGGGCACATTCACCAAACGAAGCCCTCTCTGACCCCAGCGACAAAACTCCTATGGGGCGTTCCTGTGAAACTTGGCCAACATCTGAGGTACAGAGAGAATAATGCGTCCTGCCTCTGTCTGATAGAATTTGCCTGAAAACCAAAAATTGTTGCAGACCGCAGAGAAAATGTGACCCACAATCAAAACACTATGCAAGCCACATTTATGGGCCGCTTGCTTTCCACCGAACAAAAATCACCTGGTACCTGCAGAAGCCCTTTGAAATCAGCTGGTGAAGGTGGTCTTCAAGTTGACCCTGTTTTCTCAGTTGCCCAAAGGACCCGCAAATAAACTGTTAACCTGATTGAAGCCGCGCGAAAAATAACAAGTCAAAAGGTCGATTCGATTCGGGCAAGTGAGTCTAACAGCCAAGCAGCTGCGAGACTCAACATGAACAGCATGATGCCACAAATAAAGGCTCTGTGAAGCAGCACGGACCTCAGTCCTGCGTGCAAGGAGTTCGGGTAACTCCTGTCTGCTTAAAGTTACATTAGCAAGGTTCTCGAAGGATAGACTTCAAAACTGAAACCTGGTGCGCGAAGAATATGTGTTTGAAACAGCTAGGAAAGGTGTTGTTTTCCCTGTCCAAAATGCATCCTTCAAGGAACCCTGATTCAGGCAAGCCAAAAGCAAAAAGGCGAGCTCAGTCTGGCAGTGATGCCTGCCTTGCCGTCCCACTGAGAGTCTTCCGCGACAACAACATTCAAAGGCACAATGCGCACATGATTCATCAACATCTCCCAAGCCGAACAACACGACCACACCAGGGCCACCACTTGAAACTTGGCAGGGCAGGTAAAGGTGTCACTGAACAAGTACTTTCCTGTCATCACCATATCCTTTAAAGCCCAAAGGCATAGTGTCAGGCAATATATCCAGCTTACAACATTGCCAAACGGGTGTGATGATTTGTGCGCCAAACAACTCCCAACGGCCACATGGAGGCAGCCAGTAAATCGTTGCATTTTGTTATTCCCTGGCGTGCAGGCATATACCCTTTATGTAGCCATGAAGCACTTGGGCTTCTGTGTCATGTTGACTTCGGATGAATCCGCAGAACTCTACTAGCTAGAGGAACCCGCTGAAACAAATCTCTTTCCTTACGTTCGCTGGGTTAATCCGAATCACATTAACCTGCGACTGATCCGATTAAGGGGTCCATGACCAACCTTGCCAACTCAAGCACGGGGATCCTTACATCCAACGCACATATGTGCACATGTACATATGTATGCACATACGTTTGTATCTAGATATGTATGTATGTATGTATGTATGTATGTATGTATGTATGTATGTATGTATGTATGTATGTATGTATATATGTATGTCTGTCTGTCGGTCTGTCTGTATGTCTGTCTGTAAAGTGTGTGTGTATGTATATATGTATGTATGTATGTATGTATGTGTGTATGTATGTAATGTAATGTAATGTAATGTAAGGTGATGTGATGTGATGTGATGTGATGTAATGTAATGTAATGTAATGTCATGTATATATGAATGAATGAATGAATGAATGAATGAATGAATGAATGAATGAATGAATGAATGAATGAATGAATGAATGAATGAATGAATGAATGAATGAATGAATGAATGAATGAATGAATGAATGAATGAATGAATGAATGAAAGAAAGAAAAAAAAGAACCACATAATGAATGAA